GACGACACTACGTCCAAAGATTTACGGCGTGAATGTGGCCGCTATGGTCCAATAGTTGATGTCTATGTTCCACTTGATTTCTACACACGACATCCAAGAGGACTAGCTTATGTTCAATTTGAGGCTGTTCATGATGCTGAAGATGCTTTACATAATTTGGACATAAAATGGATTTGTGGATGTCAGATCGAAATACAGGTTGCACAAGGGGATCAAGGGGGTTTTTTTTGTGTGTTTGTTTTGTTGTTGTTTTTTTTGTTTGTTTGTTTGTTTTGCGGAACCGGGGATTGAATTTAGGTCCTTGTGCTCGCCAGGCAAGCGCTTATTCTGCTGAGTCTTCTCCCCGGCCCCTGCACTTGGGGATCAGAAGACATTAAATCAAATGAAAGCCAAGGAAGGAGGGAATGTGTACAGTTCTTCACATTATGATGATTATGACAGATATAGACATTCAAAGAGCCGGTACTATGAAAGGAGGCGATCAAGAAGTCGGTCTTCTAATTACAACTGTAGAAGATCTTACAGTCCTAGAAATAGACTGAATGGAAGACTACGACGTAGCAAAAGTCATTCCGACAATGATAGACCAAACTGCTGGAGTACCCAGGACATTTCTGCTTACTACACTTCACGAAAGATCTGAAAGTGGAAAAACAACCAAAGAAGAGCAGTTCAAGCTGCCAAAAAGGTGGGTGGAAGGCGCTGCAGTATGAATCCTGTACAAATATTTTGACTGGTATGAAAAGATAAAAGAATTATCAAAAACTACATGGAGTAACTAAAGTCCCTTCAAGTTTGAAAGTAAGCATTTTAGGACAAATAAAAGGAAATTCAACTTTGTATTTGTGGGAACTAATCCCTATATATGAACAGGTTTATATTGATTTATAACAGGTAGCAGGTCCATAACTTATTTCAAACTAGGATGTCTGAGTATCAAGGAAGACAACCATAGTTTTTTTGTTTTTTTGTTTTTGGTTTTTGGTTTTTTACAGTGCCTCTATTGGTCTGTCTCAAACTGAATGGGGTGAGGGGAAGGATAAGGTCCAATGTAAACTTTTTCCTGGTCATTTCTTCAAGTCATTTTCATTTATGCCATTTTTGGCAAATGTTGCCTTTGTTTATTCTGATGCCAGTGTTTTCTGCTTAATTGTTTGCTTTGTTGGCATCTGAGTTTATTTACTTATATAGCTCATACAGTTTACATGACTGTTAACCACTCACTGGCCCAGGTGTATTCCAAGTGTACTTGACATCCAGCAGAGAGGGCCCATCACTTCTCATCTCTTCCCGAGTCAGTAAGTCAGAAATACTTAATCAAATGCTTACTATGGGCAAAACGTTACATGGGGTTACTGGGGAGAAGAATAGGTATTTGCTTTATTCTGTAAATGTCTACTGAGCACAACCCTAACGAATCACTGCAATACAGCCTTGTTGTTTTGACGTGTATTATGCAGTACTTTGCACCACTCCTATAATGTAACCATGAGCCCAATATACTATCAAAGATAGCTAGTTTTATGGTTACCTGCCATTTAAAAACATCCAGTATTTTATTTGCATCCCATGAATATGAATAATGAAAAAAAGTTTTAATGTGTAATAATCTGATTTACTGTGCTGTGACTGTAATATACTAGAGTTATATTAATTGTTAACCCTGCCTCAATCACACATATAATAGGAAAAAAAATCCCCAAAAGAAGTATTTAATTTTGCATTAGATATTCAAGAGACCCTGGGCACTATGATTAGATTATTTGGTGGAAGACAACTGTTATCCTGTCTGATTTAGTATGTTCTGTAATTGAGAAAATGTTTGCCAAATTATACTTTTCAGTGATTTACATGTACATTTTATAGGGGACATGTTCTGTGTATAGTGGATAAAAATTTGCATCGTGTTACAAAAAAGAAAAGAAAGTCAATTGTGATAAATGGTGGTGGATTGGGTAGGAAGTGGAATAAAGAGAGGAAGTGGGTGGAGTGAAACTAAATATCAAGCCAAAAATTTAAAGGCAATAAACTAGGCAATAAACATATCAGTATTTTTATTTGTGAAAAAAGGCCAAAAGGAATTTAAAAAAAATAGATCAGAGAGAATGTATTTGCATTTGTGGAGTGGGCTTGCAGAAACCTAGAGCAAATTTCTGGAATGCTCCTTCCTAGTCCTTCTGTATTTGTTGCTAATAGTTTCGTTTCTAATGCCCCTTCGTAAGACATTTTAATTATGTAAAGATTATAAAATGAAAAGCTATAAAAGAAATGTTTTTTATCAGAGTTTAGAAGCTCTAGTATGATCAGGAGTTCTGCAGACCAACAGAACCCAGGAAAGGGAGGGCTTGAATGCTCATTTTATGTTGGCTTTACCACCAGTGAACCTGGTAGTTTGGGAAAGCGGCTGAACTATACAGTCAAACCGCTTCACCTGGAGTTTGCTGGGTCATCATAAAGGGAACTCCAATTCTAACACTTTTCTATTATTTCTGTAGATTATTATGTTTAACTATTGATCGGTTACCATTATCTCTTAGTGAACCCTCACTTGGGCCCATTATTTTCTGCCATCACCCCTGTTAGGCTTCCAGGCACATTGCTCCAAGACATCTAATGGGAAAAAGTTCTTTTACACTGAAATTTTCTAAGAGTAATGAGGAAGAGCTCTCCTCTGCCCCTCACCCTATCACTGTACAAAAAATTGTATTCCTAACAAAAAGTACAAAGGCAGGAAAGGAGGGAAGGCCAGAGAGGCAGAATTGAACTCTACTTATATTCCATCTCTATGCAGTGTTAGAACTCTTTTATCTTGTTGGTAGAACAACTTACGTGCTTGTTCCTGACCTCTTCTGTTTCATGTAGATATTGCACACTTGGAACTTCAAACCTTAAAAAAAAATAGAATATCCTATGTGAAGGTTTCCTTCTTTTGGACTTCCAAGTTCTTCAGGATCCCCATACTTTGAAATTATTTTCCCCACAAAAAGCGATGTTACCAGTTTCATGAGGCAGATTCTAACAGCCTAGATGGGTGAAGAAGTCTAAACACCAGGAAAATTCACCTTGATGCAAAGAGCTACCAGCTTCCAATTGGTGAATAGAGGAGTAGCCGATCTTTGTTCTCTAGTAAGGGGATTCCTAAAATCTCCAGAGTCTCTTGGGAGCCCCCCATAATTTGGTCATGGTCAAAGATAAAAGATAAAGTGTTCCCAAAAAATTAAAGTAAGGTTTTCTCACAAAAGATGCTTTGGGTACAAAACTAATTTAAGAAACAAAGGTTTTCACATGTGTATGGTAATTCATTATTGTTAATCTCATGCTGTATTAAATGTGTTTGTGATTGCAGATGTATAGATCTTCCAAAACATAAACCAAAAATTGCTTATGGCAATAAGACTTTTCATTCAGATTCAGACCTCTGCCTCTTGCAAAAGACTAGGTATATCCCATTAACAGATAAAAGATTATTACAAAGCTCCTTTCTTTTTAATATTTAACAATCTTTAATTCAAATATTAAGGTTCAGTATAAGCCATTTATAGGACTTGAGATTTTTGTTCTTTTAAAAATAAGAACAGGGAAATGCAACAAAGTGGTCTTTCCACTGTTCAAAAACTTTCAAGGGAAGGGTAGGTCATAGTGCCATAAAGGATGCACTTTCACCCTTACCAATCTTACCCAATTCCCCAATCTTAATACATATTCCTGAATGAAGATTTACAGTTCAACTTTGTTTACACACTGTATACTTAGCACTGGCTTGCTTCCTACAAAGCCAAACAAATCATGAATACTTCAATATGTATTTCTTTTTTAAGACAATATATTAGATAGAGATGATTGGTCATAAGGATTATATTATATCAAAATGAAATTTTAATTATGTTACAAACTGTCATCATGATTGTTATGTTGCATTGCTACCATGGTTTTGATTTCTGGTTTTGACTTCCAAATTTCTGCGTAAAAACAAGTAACTGTTGTCTGTTCACATTCTATAAGGATTTAAATAGCAAAATAACCATGGTTGTTAAGAAAATAACAGTTGTTTATTTTATAAAGTGTTTTGGGGCTGGGGCTGGGGCTGGGGCTGGGGAAGATAGCTCAGTGGTCTAAATGCCTTCTTGGTAAGCATAAGGACCATATTCCATCCCCAGAACTGCATGCTATGCTGGTCTCACACCAAACCAGCCATTGAAACTAGGCATGGTGGCGCATGCCTGTAATCCCAATGCTGGTGGGCTGAGACAGGAGGATCACTATGAGTCAAGCTGCATAGAGAGACCCTGTATCAAATAAAAAATATATATATACATATATATGTATAGTGTTTGATATTCAGGTAGTAATATTAAGCTTACCGCCTCCACTACATTCTAACATCATTAAGCTTCTTTCTGGAGGTTTAACAACTGAGATTTGGAGACCAAATAATTAAAGAGACAAATGGAGTAAGGGGATAGCCAATATTTTGGCCCTAGCCCTCTGAGGTCAGTGTGAACCCAGGACAGAGGAGAACCGCTGCTGTGGCACCTTACAACACAGCTGAGTCACTGACTTTCTTAATAAGGAGATTATGGAACCACAGCGGAAGGTGATTCCATGATGGACAGTGTGCCTAGGGAGTCACTAGGAGGGAAAAAGACTCTCGAGCTTTCATAGATAGAAACTTGCTCAAGCAATGGCTGTGGCTCATTCCGATGGCTGTCACTAACTGAAGATCTAAGAGGTACTATACAAGTTTCCCAGGTAATCCTGAGACTTAACTGAACTTGCTAGATACCGAAAATTAATATGGCCTCCCCTTAACTTGGTCTTAAACACCCAACAGAAAAGTATAACCACAAGATGGATGAAAGACATGGCCACAGTAATGTGCTAGCTCTAAGGGGTTTGAATCACCAACAACCACTGACAATTGCCTGCTAGACTAGTAACTGACCACTGTTATGGATATTTGGACTGTGTTCTCCACACTCAGCTTTTCCAGCTTCAGTTAAACACCCATCATTTACAAATCAGAGAATCTATTTTGGGAGCTACTGAAGCTGGAAAGTAATTACACATGCAGGATGAAGCCAGCCCAAGAACACAGAGACCCTTGAAGCACGCTGCAGCAGCTTATTCACCCATTGCTCAGTAGAGAGGCTGAATGCAATAATCTCTCTAGGGTATAAATAAACGTTCTACTGTTCTTGGGCAGTTCCTCTCTTTCACTTAGGAGAGAAAGGAGCTCCACCTGTCCCCCCCCCAAAAAAAAAATCACAAAGGGCTGCCACACAGGTTATTCTGATATTAACACTTTACCAGTATATTAAGTCTCCACCTGCGGCCCATGTTTTAAACCTGTATTCTCGTGGAATTGTCTAAAAAGCAGGACATCAATTTTAACTCCTCAAAGAAAATTGGGGAGCTTTAATTTTAAAAATGAGTAGTCAAAGTCTTTTATATCTGTATTCCTGTCATTTTATATCTGCCGTAACACCATGGTTTGTCCTACTTATTGGTCGTGTTTAGTGCTTACTCTGTTCTGCATGCTTAAAGACCCATGGCACTGATAAACCAAAGTCATGCCACTCAGCACCGCTGCTAGTATTTTATCTCAGCATTCTTGTATATTTGTCCCTTTCATTGTTGTTTTCA